TTTGTTTCCTGAGATTAAGGATTCCTCATATCAGTGAGGTCATATGATACATGTCTTTCTCTGTTTGACTTATTTCGCTCAACATAATACCCTCCAGTTCCATCCACATCGTTGCAAATGGCAAGATCTCATTCATTTTGATGGCTGCATAATATTCCATTGTATATATATACCACATCTTCTTTATCCATTCAGAGCCTTTATTATTGTTATTGATCAGTCTCAAGTTTAAGCTTTCCTTTAGATAAAAGAAAAAATACCACATTATGAAAAATTAATGCGTGCTTAAATGAGTAAATGAAATGCAGTAAAGAAGGATCAATGGAGATAGGATCTGAAATTTTCTCTTGTCTGCTCTACTCTGTACTCCTTAGAATGGACCTGTCAAACAGATTTAAGGATTCTTCCTTGGTCACGAGATCTCAGGCTGTGTTCACGTGTTAGGATCGTGGAGACCATGTGAATAATAGTCGAAGTTTTGGTCTTAGTTTCAGTACTTTGATTAATGTTCAGTGCATTATTGAGAACCGTGGAGTATAATCAGTGGACTCCAAATAGCCCACTGAGTAAAAGGGGTTTAATATGAAACATTATATTGATTAATACATATAATATAAATGGAGAATAATTAATGAAGGTGATATAGACATGAGAATGATTCTAAATAGATATTCGGAATTTCTAGGCCTTTTGTGGTTTCTGTGAATAATCATTTTTAAAATTGTAATTACTGAATTATGAATTGATCAATAAATAATGTAGAAACAAAAGGTAAAAATGAGGGATGATATTGGATCGATGATGACCACTGGTGGCGTATGAGTCGTGTACGATGAATACGTGTCTGGAACTCTGAGGTCCAACACAGAGGGAATCTACTCCATTGTCCCTGTTTGATGTGGTCTAGAGGCAAAGGTCAGGAATATATAAAGATTGTGGTTTTGGTCATTATGTTATGAGTTTTCTTCCTATTTTTATAATTGGATCAATGAAATTATTAATACACAAATGTGTGAACAAATTTAAACGAAGAAGGTGAAGCCTTGTCCAATTATGAAAATAGCTCGTTAGGCAAAAATTACTATAATATAGTAATATATTAATTATATTGGAAAGACTGATATCCATTAGGAAAGAGGTGGTATAAGGGTGTTGTCTCTTTGGCTAAGGTTGATGTTATAGACCGTGTTAAGTATAGTGTTCATATTCTTTGGCAGGGGCAAGAGGGATATTGTTTGTTTTACTTAATAGAAAATAAAATATACAGGGCGCCTGGGTGGCTCAGTCGTTAAGCGTCTGCCTTCGCTCAGGTCATGATCCCAGGGTCCTGGGATCGAGTCCCACATCGGGCTCCCTGCTCGGCAGGAAGCCTGCTTCTCGCTCTCCCACTC